CTTCCCAGCCTGCAGGTTGCAACCCAGCATAAGAAATAAAGTTCTCCTTTCCAAATTTACAGATCTTGTCATTTTAACTTGACAAATGCAAATATTTTTGCTTTCGGGCTGCCTCATGTTTGAAGTTGAAATCAAGGAAGTGGTCGTGGTCTTCTGTAATAGCACTTCATTCATATCATTATCTGAAGGATTTGCTATCAATTTCTTGTCTTTTACTTACACCACTCTTGATGCTAAGTTCTATGAAGCATAAAATAGAGACCTCTGGGTCTTAGAAAAGTTCGAATAATCAGAATTTCAATAAATCCAAGTCAATCATTTAAATATTTTATGGGCTTCAAAATAAGCAAGATTTTAAGATAAATAAAAGAATGGTTGTTTCCTTAAAAAACAAGAGAAGTCTGTTCTAAACATATTTATTCAGAACCCTCAAAATCTTAATATTTGGCCAGGCATGGTGGCGCATGCCTGTAATCCTAGCACTCCAGGGGACCAAGGTGAGAGGACTGCTTGAGTTCAGAAGTTTGAGACCAGTCTGAACAAGAGTAAGACCCCCATCTTTACCAAGAATAGGAAAATTAGCAGAGCATAATGGCGCACACTTACAGTCCCAGCTACTCAGAAGGCTGAGGCAAGAGGATCACTTGAGTACAGAAGTTTGAGGTTACAGTGAGCTACAATGATGCCACTGCACTCTACACAGGGTGACAGAGCAAGACTGTTTCAAAAAAAAAAATCTTAATATTATAGTACAATAAAACAACAAATTTGAAATCTGATTCAAACATATATTTAAAATAACCTGGATAATTATCATACTTTTGCTGGCTATGGACAGAAAGCTAGTGACCACTCCTGAGCTAATCCAATGGTATCAACTCTTTCCATCAACCCACCATAAAGAGGTGTAATATACAACCAAAGATAACAGTGGCAATACCAAGCTTAAAGCAATTACTCAAATGTGGCTATATAAGTAATTAAGCAAGTCAAAACCTGGGGAAGGGAGGATGGAGAGGGTAGAAAAAGAGCATACCTTTCCCCTGGCAACCAGAAAAAAAGGGTGCATTGTCAATTAATACTTGTCCAAGCATTATCTATATACCTAGCATTGTGCTGGAGTCTATGAGAGACACAAATGTAATAAAATACACATCTTTGCCTTTATCTTCCCAGTAAGACAACATGCCCACAAATGAAACATTTAGAGCAGTGGTCCCCAATCTTTTTGGCACCAGGGACCAATTTCATGGAAGACAATTTTTCCACGGAGGTAGGGCAGGAGGCAGAGCTCAGTCAATGATGCGAACAGATGAAGCTTCGCTACCTTGCCTGCCTGCCTAAATTTCATGGAAGACAATTTTTCCATGGACACGGGGTGGTGGGCAGAGCTCTGCATGCTGATTCCTAACAGACCAAGAGTTGGGGATTGCAGAGTTAGAGAACAAGTCTGTGTCAATTCAATCTGTGTCCTGAAGATAATAAATCCTCTCAGAATTCAGAGGGCAGAACAGAACAACAGTAAGTGATTAAGAGCCAGGAATTATACAAATTAAGATTCAGACTAAGAATTCTTGAATCTACCTCCATTTAAAGGAATTTCATGCCAGGTACAACAGAGATGGTGAAAAAAAAAATCAAAGATAAAAAAAAAAGGAATTTCAATCCTAGGTCTGCTAGTAACCACAAACATAACCTAACAAGTCACTTCCCTCAGTTTCTATTAAGTTTGTTTCCTCATCTGTAAAGATGTTAGATTCTAAAGGAGTCATAGGTCAGTCTCTAACCTGAAATGGACCTTAAAGGTTAGAGGAGTGATTGAGAGTGATTAAGGCTGAAATTCAGCTACAAAAACTGCATAAAGGTTTAATATGGATGTATGGGACATCTGGGGACAGTACAGAGACTGGCTTAAGTACAATGGAGTAGTATTTGTGCTGGAGTGAATCTGGCAATGTAAGGTTGGGCCAGATTATGAGGAACTCAATTAGAGAATTAGGACTTGCCTCTGTGGCAGGCAATGTAACCTCTGCTAAAACTTTCAGATTAGGCTGAAACAGTATCATTCCCAAAGAACTGCAACGTGTAAACTAAAGAGGGACAGCCGCAAACTATTACAGTACGATGACAAACTTAAGTAAAAGATGCAGTAATTTAGCTGACCACTAGAAAATGCCAACAGTTAGGCTGTCATAATCAGAGATGAGACAGTTTGACTTAGCAATGGAATTACACAACTCACAATGAAAGGCAGTTCCCCTTCAAAGAATCATCCTTAAAAATAGCAGCCACTTTCACTAACAGAAAGGCATGGAACAAACATTTTACATCAGCTTTGGTTACTGTCACAAGCTGGAGAGAAGGAAAAAACTACATTAGATGGTACTGAAAATACTCAATAAGCCCCCACACCTTTACTCCTATTCACTCAGATGAATGATGTTTTAACAGGGCAGGGAGGATTTATAACCTCACAATTGCATTTACTAATTAGCTGAACTACTACTATATTGCTTTAGACTCATTCTCCAAACTTGGAAAGGATGGATTTCTCAAACAAAATATTAAGCAGTAATGTAATTGGTTATGAACCCCTGGCTCTAATTTACCATACCTACTACAGCAGAACAAAAGTGGCACAAGCTGGACTTGTGATCCCATCCAATGCAGACTGCCATCTGCTGCACATACACAGGATGTCTCCTATGCAAGATTCAACCTTAGTGTCTCTCAGGGACCTTTATAAGAACACTTATTCTTTCTGGCAAGTTGTTTGTTGCAATAGTCACCTAATATATGTGCCTCAAATCAATATTTCCTTAAAGGAGAATCCCTATTCATGGAGTTTTGAAATTCCAATACTTCCCTAAGAGATAAAAATAAATTTTATAAGGAGCAGTTGCACTTTACAATAAAAATAACACAATAAGAGGGTCAGAATATCTGAGATGGATGGGTATCCTAAAATTGTTAGGTATTACCTGTATAACTCTGGCCAAGTCTCTCCCCTTTCTGGGCCTCAATACTTTTCACACTGAATGGCTTGTGAGGAATCATAGAATATCAGATGGAGACAGCTGTAGACATGATGGCTTCAGAGCAATCGCAGAAAAATAAAAAATCTGTTTACATATATTATATAATCATGTTCAACTTTTTTCAAGATCTTACAATTCTAAATTCATTTACAAGTCACCATTCCCATGAAAACACTTCTGCCCTTCAGAAATAACACTTCATTTTAATTGTGCTTTCAGTTACAAATTCAGCACATCACTTTTATCCACCCTAGAATAGCACAGAGAACACTTTCATGAAGTATTCCCACAAGGAAGACACTCACAGCCTGACAAATTTGCATAGTGGAAAGTATACATGGCACAAATAAAAATGCTAAATGAATACCACACCCAAACAGTCTTAAAAACAAACTGTGCAAAGTCAGAAGATGTCTTATCAAAATACAGAGTTAAAGACAACTTGGGATGTCTTGAAATAGTTTGGGGGAAAGGGGGATGCAATCGGATTTTTCAGTGGCCTTATGCTTTTAAGAGAACAAAACATATAACTGGAGGCTACGAATCATGCAAATTAAATTGAACTATAGAAAAGCTCGGCTCTTGCCCAAAAGCTTCAGCAAAGCAATATGCCAGCATGCCAAACATGAAGAAGTACAATTTTCTCACAAGAATGAGGATAGGGTTCATATCTATGACTAATAATAACAATACTATCTTGCATTTGCAGAGCATTAGTTCTTTTCATAGCTCTTACAGGCACAATTTTATGCTGTCATTGGTCTTGGAGTATCCTCTGTAATAACTCTTGTTCAGTTTCCTCTTAAGAGCTATATGATCAGAACAAGGCAGGTGATGAGTTTGTTGAGGGCTGAAGGTATTAATTTCTCCTATGGGGCTGTCTGCAGTGATCCTCTTATTACCACACCGTATAACTCAGCCATAGGAAATAAAAGCTACGCTCTTTCTCTCAGAGTTGGCCAAAGACCCACACATGTGGGATATAGGTCTAGGAAGTCTAAGGAACCGGGAAACTCCGGACTTGTTAGGTCAAGAACTCCATGTCAAGTTGATCTCTTGCAATTGAAAAAAAAAATCCCTCTCACTCACACACACACACCCCAAGACTGTTCAAATAGAAACCCCCTTTCATTGCCAGCCAATGAAATCCAGCAACAACTGGTTAACACAATCACCAAATCTCTGCCTCTGTGAACAACTTGTCATATTCCCTTCTCCTGTGCCTGCTGCCCACCATTCCTTCTTCAGGCACGCGTGAACAAGCTTATAAACCAACCCTGGAAAGAACCACCGAAAGGACCTTTAAAGACCCGAGGGGATGGAGCTTGCCTCCTGAAGCAATGCAGCATCCAGCTCGAGGGAGCTGGGCACACACAACGCAGGGAGTCACAGAGGGGGATAAAGTTTGATTTCCCTTCTTGCCCGTTCCCAGAGGACCGAGGGAGGACGAGGAAGCGACCCCGCCAGGGTCCTGGGCTGCTCTCCGGGGACAGTTCCCAGCGGCATGGCACTGCCACTCTCCTGACACAGACGAGGCAGCCGCGGCAACTCAAGACACCCCACCCCGCCTGGAGGAGGCAGAAAAGGGGACAACTTGCACCGGGCTTAGTTCAGGAGCACTGGGGGAGAGCTGTTAAGAAAGAAGGAGGGAGGAACCGAGATTGGAGGCGGGTCGGGGAGAGGTTCCAGTCCCGTCCCTTCCCCGCCCTGGTGTCCCCGGTCCTGCGGGAACATCCCCGCCGTCGCCCCTCCTCCTCCTCTCGGCTTCCTCCCGCCCGCCCTTCCTTCCTGGTCGCCGCCGCAGGCGCCTGAAGGGCACGGCCGCTCCCCGGTGCCTGGCAACCTCGGGAGCGGCCGCGAGTTGAGGTAACTCGCCTGCCGCCCGGGCGGCCTGCCCGCCGGCGGCTCCCACACGCCAGCGCCGCCCCGCCCTCCCCGGAGCCGCCGGGCGCGCTAGCTCACCGTCCGGTGGTGGTGCTGCTGCGGGTGGCGGCTGACGCCCAGCCCGGGGAAGCAGCCGACAGTCAGCGCTCCACAGCCGCCGGCGCCCCCGCCGCTGCCCCGGGAAGAGAGGAGCAGCAGCAGCGATCTACCTGCGGCGGCCGCCATCTCTCAACTGGAAACGGCGCCGACCCAGGCAGCGCAGCGGACGGCCGGGGCGGAGCTAAGACCCGCCACTCACCGACGCTGGACCAACTGCCGCCTTTGGCAGAGTGGATGAGGCGGAGCTTCCTGCCAGGCCCAATCGACAGGCGGGAGAACCACATTTGAGGCTGCCTGTCACTTCCAGAGTTACCTATTATGGGACGCAGTCAATTACGGGCAAATTCTAGGGAACCGGTAATTGGCGCCTGAGCCCCTCAAAATAGCAGCGATAGAGGTGGCATGTTCGATTCAGCTAATCTTCACCAAAGTTAGAACAACGATAAGGGTAACTAGGGAAATAGATAGTTGTGCAAAGCTCTGTTCTAAGTTGAGTTCTGAGTGTTCTAAGTTGGCAAAATAGGCACCAAATTAATAACCATTAACTAGGTATGCTGTAACTCTCAACGGCACTCCCAGAGTTATCATTCATAGCTGATAGTATTTGGGTATGCTGAAACTAACCCTACATCGTGGAGTGATTTAATGACTGTGATGTGTAGCATAATACAGGAGTGGTAGAATGATTACAGTATCAAAGTCCCAGAGGGAGTTCATGCCATTGGAGTGAATTAACACACCTGTGCACATTTCAAGTACCCAATTCATTTTTACAGCATCTTTATACTGATATTCTTACACTCTCCTGAAGGAGCACGTGCTATTTTCACATATATGCCCTTGTGCGCATTTATTAAACTACAGAAACAGAACAAAGGGATAATATAATAAAAATCATGTAAAGGCTATTTTAGTGAAGTTTCGTCATTCTGCTAAAATAGCCATTAGAAGCTGGGCTCGGTGGCTCTCGCCTGTAATCCTAGCACTCTGGGAGGCTGAGATGGGAAGGATCACTCACGGTTAGGAGTTCGAAACCAGCCTGAGCAAGAGTGAGACCCCCGGCTCTACTATAAATAGAAAGAAATTAATTGGCCAACTAAAAATATATGGAAAAAATTAGCCGGGCATGGTGGCACATGCCTGTACTCCCAGCTGCTCGGGAGGCTGAGGCAGGACGATTGCTTGAGCCCAGGAGTTTGAGGTTGCTGTGAACTAGGCTGATGCCACGGCACTCACTCTAGCCTGGGCAACAAAGCGAGACTCTGTCTCAAATAAATAAATAAATAAATAAAATAGCCATTAGAATATACTTTGTAATAACTCTTAATCACTTTATCTTAAAAAAATAATTATTTCTACAGGAAACAAGCTCACAATGAGGGCTCATTAAATACCGTGCAAGTAAGGAGATTTGGGGTTCCTGTATTTCCTTAAAAGAGGATTTCCTTGCTATCTGTTTATTATTATGAGCTGATAAATTCTCACACCTCTTTTTAAAATCTGGAGCAGATAAACAGTTTGGAAAGCAAATACAAGTATTATTCTAAATTTTGGAAAAACATCTTTTGTAGTGTAGCCTTGGGTGATAAGTTTTTTTAAAGACCTGCGAAAATACAGAGAAAATTTTATCACTTGTTCTAATAATATTCTTTAAAGTTTGACTGAAATGGTACTTTCTTGTCCAAGAAGAGCTAAATAACGAAGTGGAAGTTTTTAGTATGTTTATCCTCATGCCCCACCTACCCCAAAACAGCGTGATGACTGGCTTCTCCAGGTAAGAAATATGCCACTTGCCCAAAAAGCTTTATTGTCCAAGAAGTGGAACCTGAGAGCTCGGGAATGAAGGCCCATTCAACAGCTGCACACAGTAATCCCCCTAGCTGGAAATCCTTGACATTCCTGGAGCAACTTCACTTACAATCATTTTCCACTCATCTATATTTATCCCAACTGCATTTTATGTATTTACTCATGCCGTGTCATTTTCCTTTCTCTCTCACCCCTTCATGCTTTCTTACCCCTTCTTGCCAAGATCACCATGGATTTTAGTTTTGTTTTTATTTTCTGTGCCTTTGCCAAGTCTGGCTATGAATCAGGATTGTTCCTACCATCTCAACACTTTACACTTTGAGAAATGTTACTGGAATTGCCTTTCCCCTATTTTTCCAAGTATGTAGATATGCATCCTGCTGTACTGAGATTTAGTCCTATGCATTTGCAAAAGAACCATAGTAAATTGTTTTTCTTTTAAGTACATAAATCTGAAACTGGAGGGATTATCAAAAGCTTTCTTACTACCTATTTGCCAAAATGTGTCATCTTTTAACTGCTAAGATGAAACCACTGATGTACCAGAGGTAAGCTGTGTAGGATCCACTGATTAAAGTGGGTTCTAATAATTTAGGGTTAGCAAATCCCAATCTAAGCAAATGTCTTTGCTTAGAAAAAATCTTGATCTAAGCAAATGTCAATTATTTCCACACAGAGGAAACTTTGTCCATAGCTGCAAAGCACATAACTCATAAGAGCTGGTTGGTCAAGCCCCATGAGGAGAAAGTGTACACAACTCAACAGAAAGTCATCTTCATACCTTAAAAAAGTAAAAAATTATATCTATATGTATATATAGAAAGGGATTTAAGATTCATTGAATACTTGCCATATGCCAGAAATTATGCTGATCACTCTAGAGATACTACATTTATAAAGAATGATAAAGCAACCACAAAAAAACTTTAAAAAGATGGTAACTCTTATGAGTAAGAAGTTGAAGAAAACCTCAATGGTTTTCAATAGAGAATTGCTTAAATCAATTAGACACTAACTTCATGACAGAATATTACTCAAACATTAAAACATAGAATTTTTCAGCCAGGTGCAGTGGCTCATGCCTATAATCCCAGAACTTTGGGAGGCCAAGGCAGGAAGATCACTTGAGGCCAGAAGTTCAAGACTAGCCTGGGCAACATAATGAGACCCCATCTCTACAAAAAGTTTTAAAAATTAGCCAGGTGTGGTGGTACATGCCTTCAGTTCCAGCTACTTGGCAGGCTAAAGCAAGAGAGTTGCTTGAGCCCAGGAGTTTGAGGCTACAGTGAGCTATGATCAGGCCACTGCATTCCAGACTAGGTGACAAGGTCTCTCCAAATAAGTAAATATAAATAAATAAATAAAATTATTCTATCTTTACTTTTTAAAAAGTAATACAGATAATACAGTATAGATGATCCTTTTAAAAGTAGTTTATATGTATATAATTTAGATAGATAGAAATTTCTGGGAGAATAAACAAGAAAATGTTTTACCTCTGGGAAGTTTTAAGGGATAGCTATCCTTTTGAATGATTTAAATTGTTCCTGACTGTATATTATTTTATAATTATAAAAACATAGTCACTAAAACCTACATTGCTGCAGAATTATTTCCCATGCCAATCCTTAAAAACAGGTTGATCTTTTTTTAAGCTAAAACTAATCAGAACAGGTTTCCTGGAGCATGATACTTTAACTAGGTTCCCTGCTAAAATGTACACTGACGTCAGCTCCTAAGTATGACTCAAGTCAGTGGAGTATTTGCCTAAATATTCCAGAATAGCTAGGGTGGGTGATATGCAGTTTATTGACATGAGCAAGAAAGCATGAAAGGAATCTGCTCAGAGGTCTAGGGGCTGTGTTCCATACTTCACTGATAATGTGAATTATTATGCAAATGAAATCAGCAGTTCTTAAACATCAGGTAAAAGTATATGAAGAGGGAGGCCAAAGGGAAAAATTTAGCTTTCAAATATCCTGAACCACACAGCCTGGACCTGTTTCCTGGCTATTTTTGCTTCATTCTTTTTCCAGATGTCATCATTCCCATTTCTCTACACCTACCCATCTGCAGTCATCTCTCCATCACTATCACTCTTTTTCTCATGAATTCCTAGTTTCTGTGATCTTTTCTGTCCCTTTTCTGTCAGCTTGTATGAATCATAAATATTTCTAGTCAGTGTAGAAGGGCTCAACGACTCTTAAGCCCATATCTTTTCCTATCCATATCTATTCTCACTTGATATACAAACACATACTTTTTTCCTTCCTCATTTTTATTTCTCTTTTCTTTCTCCAACATGCCCATTTCCCTTACTCTAATATTGACTCTAAGTCAGAGATATATTTACATACTCTCTCTAAAAATTTTTGTGCAGCAGGAGGCTCATGTCCTAGTCTCCAAAGGATGACTGACTCCACATCCATTTTATAACTTAGTGATACTATAATCCAACATCGATCTGCAAGTTTGTTTTTTTTCTGTCAAGAGCAGAAGACCAGGAAAACACTGAGTTGACAAGGGCAGAACTTGTTCAAATAGGATTGTCTTTGTTCATGTGTCTCAGGATCTGTCTTTTTTGTGTTAGATTAGTTTGTAGCCTTCTATCACCTTTGTGTTTACCAGATTCTTGGATCTGGGAAGTCTTTTGTCTCTATCTGAAGTAATTCAAAGGAGCAGGACACAAATTTTACACTCTAATAAGCCCCACCTCCTAAATGGATAGGAATCCAGCTCATCCATTCTAGAATATTCAAAAGTGCCAAAAGATCATAAGAACTTTCCAACAGGGCTGAACTACAACAAAATCCCAAATTGGCAAAGTGGGTCCCTTTTCTCAGCAATCTTCTCTTGAGATATATAATCTTCATACTCTGAATGTGCCCTGAAACTTTCAGCCTCCAACTCTTTGTTCCTACTGTCCCTCTCTTCTTTTTGAACACCAGCTCAGCTTCCTCTGAGGGTAAATGTCCAGGTAAAATTAAACTCTCCCTCTTACATGCTTTCATAATCCGTTGTTTGACTGTCTATCATAGTATCTGGGTCCTGGATCTGAGCTGATCTGACTGTGAGGTCTGTCACATGCCTTCATTATCAGGCCTATCTAATTAAGCTATCTTGGCTGGCTGGTCTACAGTACCCTTCTCGCACCATTTCACGAGTATTTTATATCAAAATTATGTTACTATCTTTTTCCTACAGAGTTCTTCTAGGTTAGAGTTGCCAATCTGGCAAATTAATTAAAACTAACTCTAGATGATGTCAATTACTCCTTAGATCTCCTCTTTTACGCAAGAGTTACATTTATAGCAGCTTCTAATGCTGATATCTAAAAGAATTTCACAAAATATGGCAAGTCTAAAAAAGTTATTTTGGGGTGAGATAGTCCCTTAAAATTCTTCAAAAATTCACCAAATACCTAGCCATATCAGTCTGCCTACTTCAAGGTCAGATACATCTTTATATTATTATGCTTGCCTCTGCCCAAATTTCAGCTCCTGTAAAACTAATTAACTGTCAAAATGTTATGTTCATTCTCAATTTTGATATAATGTATATAGTCTTCATCAATGCTTATTTACACATGAACACACAAAGAGTCTGGGTGGCTATGGATTGCAGTTGGTAGGAGGCAGGGGGTGGAGGAAACCATGGGCGGGAGATTGGTCATTGCCAGTTAACAACAGGTGTGAATGCTGCTCTTTAAATTTAGCCATTGCACTTGGCATCTTGTCTCTCAGACGTCACTTATGACAACTGCTGCTGATTTGGAAAGGATCAAGGAAAGGATGACAGAAAGGGTCACATTTATTAAAAAGCAAAGAGAAAAAAGTTTCATTCTCTTTTATTTAATAAACCTAGCTTAAGATATGAAAAACAGTATGAGACTTGGAAAGTGTAAAGGCAACTTAAAAGAATGAAAGGCGGGAGGAAATTATTCAAAGAGATAATAATTAGTAA